AGCTAAGCAAGGTCAGGCCAGGTTAGTATTTGGATGGGAGACCACCTAGGAAGACTAGGAGCTATAGGCTTAAAAAATAAGGGACTGTAAGCTGACAAGGTCTTTGCAATCTGTGAGGTCAACCAAGGGTTGCCTCACCTAAAAAAAAGAAAAGAAAAAAATAAATAAAAACACCAGATGTGAAACCGCTATTCTTAGTTTTACAGAATTTTAAAATGCTGCTTTTATATTTGTATGACACTATTATTAATTTTAAATTACCGAATTTATATGAGATTATGATACTTTTTAAAATAGATAATGGTTTTTATAGTTGTTTTAATAGTGACTGGAATGGGGAACGCACGTGAAAAATGTGATTCGTGAAGTCCATTGGCGCGTGTGTGTTTTGCTTCTTCGGTGGAAAGTCAAACACAGCTAGACACAGTCCCCCTTCTCGCCCCGGGACAGTCAGTGTTTAACACGCCAAAGGTCCACAGAGATGGTGGTTTCATTATCTTTGTCATTCGAAGCTGCCGTCTTTATAATGTTAGAATATTAGGTTCCGAGTAACTTTCCATTTCATGCGCAACCTTCATAAACAGAGCACTTGCTCTGTTTATTTTAAACTGAGGTTGCAGAAACTTTAAAGGTGCCCGAAAATCAGGCAGACAAACAGAAGCGTCAAAGAAAGGTTCCGGCTCAGGAAAGGGGGAGGTCCTGAGCCCAGACCTTCCTGGCAGCACCGCCCATGGGCCCGACTGGACGTCTCCGCGGAGACCCTATCGCCACTTCTTCTGGGAGGACCCCTCGCTGGGCCCCACCTGTGCTCTGTCTCCTATCTGGGACGGTCTCTACCTCTGGTGGCAAAACGGGGCGCACGTGTCGAGGCCCTGCCACAAACACGAAATCGGTTTTCTGGAATACAAAAGCAGTACGCGGCCGTAAAGCCAAGGACGGTTCCCTTCATCAAGGCTCCCGGTCACCTCCCAAGCAAACGCCTCCTTTGTACCTGCCATTCATCAAAAACAGTCGCTTGCATCTGGTTTTGCACAGTGAGTGTTTGTCTTTGTTATTTCGTCCTCGTAATTTCTTGGAGGGCAGGGCGATTTATTCATCTTGTTTTAAACGTACTGGCCCATGATAGTTTCCTGAATACTAAGTAGAAGGAGTTTCGCCTAATAGATTCCCCACAAATATCTGTTGAACACATTAATGGATGCTTGTGTATGTTCGTTTAATGGCTGATGCACCGTTACGCACACGAGAAATCGCCAGAAGCACGAGGAACCTACCGTCGCATCTTGGGAAAGGATAGTTCCAGTTTCTGTTGATCCCATGCTGACAGGTGAGGACCGGGTGGCCGATCAGAACGTACCCAGGATAGCACTCGAAGGAAACCGACTGTCCCACACTGTAATCTGAGTTGATCATGTAGCCGTTCTGGAAAGGGGGAGGGTCCGGGCAGTTCTGCAGTTCATAGGCTGAAACAGACAGACAGAGACCAGCTCACAGCCAAGTTCGGTCAGTCCAGAATGCAGAGGGGGAACGTGGCCGCTTACAGCTCGTGAAGACGAACCGTCTGGACGTGAGCATGGATGGAAGAGGGTGCTGTCATACATCCTAAGTTCCTAACGGGGCAGGGCACGCTGCTCGCCACGCCCCAGGCCTGTCCCTTTAAGAAAACTATCGAAGGTGTCTGTGGGAGGAGCACCAAACAGGATATACTCAAATCGCTCATTCATGGTTTAGCAGAGCCTCTGGGTGTCAGCCTCGTACCCACTGTCACGATGCGTTACATATGAGGTCGTGGGTAGCAGAGATTTCTGAGGAGCCGTCACATGGGACAGCATCCGGCAGACGGACACGCACACACTCACACTCACACGTCACTCACTCACTGCCTTGCTCAGGGAGAAGAGGCCGCAGTGGGCACCACCGTTGGCACCAAACACACTGTGAAGCACCCCCAGGTGCTTGGCTCCCCCCACTGAAAACTAAATCTGGTCCGGGTCGGGTCTGAGCAGAACGGCCGTCGTCAGGACCTCCGCAACAGACACCGTGTGAGCTCGCCCGCACCCCAGACCGGCCGTTCCATCGTGAGCACTGGTGAAGTTACAAGAGCAGGAACCTGGTCCTCACTTTTAAGCTGGATTATCTGCCTGGATGGTTTCATGGGCCGTGCTAACTCCTGACCCCGCTTCCTACTGGTGAAGTTAGCCGAAGTCATTGCTGCTTGCAGCCAATCCCACACTTTCTGGGCTCCCTGGAGGCTCTGCTAGGGGACAGTCACCCCAACTGCTTGCTCGTAATTGCAAGTACAAGTGTCTGTGTTCCAGCCACCGAGGACTAAGCACCCGGTCGTCCTTTTGCAGAAGCGTCTTTGCATTGTGGAGAAAGCTTTACTGTCACCCCGAAGACGGCTGGCTCACTGAGACCTCAGGCTCCTGCATCCCGCCGAACCTGCTTCCTTCCTGCCGCCAGAAGCTTGGGGGGACTGGTCAGAAGCCGGCCGCACCTGCCACCCGGGAGTGGCCGCCTGGAGACGCCATCGCCCGGGGGACACGTGTGCCGACCTGCTCCGGCCGCGCAGCCTTTCCCATCACGGGGTCGGTCTCGTAAGGGAGAGATGTTTGAGGTCGCTGCTTAACTTCCAGCGACCCCGGGACAGGAAGGGCAAGGCCAGCTTACCTGCGGGGAGGGGGAGGGACGGGCCCATTTGTAAGATCTGGACCCTAGTCTCTAAGAGTCTGGACCACAGATACCATTACGGGCACTTTATCCACCTTGAGAAAGGTACGTAAACGAGACAGGCATCAACACAACTATTTGCGGTCCGCTGCTTTAAGCAGTTTTAAGTGCCACAGGCTTCTTTGTACGGAGCCTCATGGGGCGAGCTCGGCTCCCACACAAGGACCGCTGGGGACGGACGGAGTGGCCCCCAGCCCAGTCCTCTAGTTAACGGGGTGGGGTCGGGAGAGCGGCTGAAAGGCAACGGAGTGACGGCTTCGGAAGCCCATCGGCCCGGTGCACAGTGTGGCCGGCCCTGAGGAGGAGCAGGTGGGCCTGCAGGGCCGGGGGCGGTGGGGGGGACTCTGCAGTGACCCGCTGCCCACGCAGGCAGGCCGGCTGCTGCTCCTCCGTCTGAAGGGGAGGGGACACTGAGTCTACACGCCAGAGCTGTTTGCGCAGTGACTCGATTCACTGGAAAGTCAACAGTTTTCTGACTGCACGAATGAATATGCAGATTTACAGATCGTATTCTGTGTTCTGGTTTCCTGTCTCTTTTGTTCATTTTTTTTAAAGGTAGCTCGTCCATACAGCAGAAGGAGAGCAAAAAAGGGTAAACCTTTAAAAGAAAAAGAATGCATTTTTACTTCCTGTGGCTGAAGCACTTCGAATTATCTTTAAATTTTTCAGCGTTGAACGATTATGCTTCATGATGTAAGAAAGAGAGAGTGAGGAGCAGGGAAAAAGGAAGATGAATATTCAATTTCTCCAAACGCCAAATCACAAAAACCACGGAAAAAGGAAGTCGCTAAAATTCTTATGCCAAATCTCACGAATGTTATGAAAAATCTAAGCGTCAATAAGATCAGATCGATACCACGAGAGTGAGATAACACACAGGATTTTGGATTTTATCCTTCGCGGGGCGAGCCTCTCTTTGTCTCTGGGAAAATATCTAATATTCTCATCTATCCATCTCAAGAGAGATTTGCATCAGGAGCTTGAATGATAGGTGCTTGATGCGACAGCCAGTGGAATCTCAGAGTCATCCTTCTAATAACCATCCTATTTTCTGACTGATATCTAATTAGTTGATAAATATCTTCATACCTGCATCCATTTTCCAGATCTTGACTTAGAAATAAGGTACATGAAATCGATTTCATCCAACACAGTTTTTCATCTTCCATTTCTCAAGTTCTGTACGAGTCATTTAACTTCAAGACAGCTACATCTGCTGATAACGTTCTTGACCTTCATGCGGCCATAAATAAATGATAAGGTTTAAGAAAAAGAGGCCCGGCAGAAGCATCATTGAGAATGACAAGGATTTTCTGCATGATTTATGCATCCTCCTATGAGTTATTAATTATAAGCTCAACTTATAAATCTCCAGAGGCACCTAGGAATTTTGACATGACACAAATCAGAGTGGTGCCATTTTGCCGGTTTTTAAATTTTGTGAAGTGACAAACATTAATAAACTATCTAATTCAGCATCATCCTTGTCAGAAGTCATACCCTTCCATAACGGAGAGGACCTCAAATTCAGGTTATCATTCTTTTTAATTTATGTTATATCTCTCAATTGTAGTAATAATAAAAATGTTTCGAAAGTTTTTTTTAATGCAGTTACTTAAATCGAGTCAGGAGTCAAGTGGGTAAAACATTCACTCAACCATCCAGGTGTCTGGCCTTCGTGAGGAAGGCCACGTCCGAAGGTCCCAGGCTGGCGAGTACACCCATGACCCAGCCAGCGGGGGGCCAGCGGGAACTTCTGCAGTTAATGCCTTCCGGCTCTGCAAGGGGCCAGCACCCAGCACGCCGACACTTCAGGGGACTGGCCCCGAGGAGACTGTGGGTCAAACGTTTCCAGATTGTGTGTGACACAGAGTGGAAAAAAAAAAGTGAATCTATGAGTATTTCACAAATTATGTGAGATCTAATTAGAAATATTAAATTTTAAAAATATTACTATTTTGCTGGTCGGTCACAGTAACTTCACGGCCTCTGGTCTGAATGACTGCTACGTAGACTTTTTGTGGGTTTGTATACACTTTCGTTTTCGTTTTTGGATTGAACTAATTTGTAGCTTTTGGAACTGTGCAGACACGGGCATAACAACCCTATCTGAAAATCAGAAGAGAAGTAAAACAAAAAATACTTTTTCAACTACGGAGCTTAGAAGTTCTGTGAGATAAACTGCAGTTTCGAAACTACGTGGCAAATACTAGCGCGGGAATTTTTTCAACCTCACATTTTTATTAAGATGTGAGTATCATATTAAAATTTTTAAATTCTTTTTTAAAATAATTTATTTTCCACTTACAGTTGATATACAATAGTATATTAGTTTCAGGTATACAACATAGTGAGTAGACATTTATATACCTTATAAAGTAGTCAGTCACCCGATAGGAATTTTTATACTTACTGACTTCTGCAATGTCAATAAAAAAAACTTCAAGTACAGTATTAAGATATTCAAAATAGGGGAGACTTTTCCAACTTCTCAAGGTCGACCGAGATAGACGACTTACTTAGCAGCTGATGGTTTGCGACATGTCATTATGTATATTTTTTATTGACTCAGCTGTTAAGCTTATGCCTATTAAACCGTGGAAAGTCCCACAGATAAACTAAGTTTAAAATGATGATCGTGAGTAAAATGTTCACACTTTAACAGAACCTACTTCAGTAGAAATAGAAAAGGAGTGAGAACCAGGTGACAGAAACGTGGAGAGAGAAGCATGGAATTCAGAATAAATGGTATTCCCATTTTTAAGTTGAGCATACAGCCAGACTGCGGCAAAATAAAAGGAAGCTGTGTCAGAATGGCTCCCCCGAGCTGGTTTGAGCTAACATGTCGCTTTTGTTTGTTTGTCTGAACTGATCAGGCCTAGACAATTCCTCCAGAGAGAGATGTAACGTTTTCGCAGATCGTGAAAGACACCGTCCCGTGTACACACGTCACACATACACCCAAACAAGCACAGGGATGACCGAGACTCCGCAGCAGAGTAGAGAGAAAGCAGACAAGAATATGGAGAATTTCGTGTGGAGACGAAGTTCATGTCAGAACTCGAGGGATGGTGAGCTTGTTTTTCCACAGGGAAAGCTCTCTGGTTCATGCATGAACCTGGAGGGGTTCAGCACGAGCCTCCCCTTTGGCATGTGGACCGTGTTCAGTGAAAGGCAATGCGGATGCAGCCGATTTAAGACAAACTTTTCTGTCATCCTTCACCACCTAAACGAATTTAGACGGGGCGCCTCGCCCGGAAGATACCTTTCCATCTACACGACCTGCGTGTGCGGCAGGGAGGACCTGTCATCGCCGACCCCCTGTGCTTCTTGTCACCCGTGAACTGTGCCTCTCCTTACTCAGGATGCCGTATCCGCCTCGACCGCCTGTGGGCCTCACATGCCCACGGGGCCCCGGACACACGGCACAGAATTCGTTCTCCTCCTGTCAATCTGCCTCATGTCAGTTCATGAACAGGCCAGCCAAAGGAACCAATAAGGGTGGAGTAAAACATTTCCCCCCCTGCATGTCTTGTAAATAAACTGGGCATCTCTCCCTTGGAAATTGTCTAAATATCTGGAATAGACTTTCCACGGAATCCCGAAGTCCGCAGCGGCACCGAGTTCTTCGTCCGATCAGCTGACGATGTCTGAGAGCGAGAGAACTCGATGTGAAACTAGCCTCGGAAGGACAGAAAAATGTCACGGTGTGGTGACGGCGTGACCGCTGCCAGCGTCACGGCAGGCTGCCCACTCACGCCACCGCTCCCTTCGCCCCTCAGAACACAGCCCTCATTTTCTTTTGGGCAAAAAGTGTCCCCTGATTGGGGGGCGGACTCTTCAGTGCAAAAGGGGAAGAGGCCGGAAGGCCCAGAGACTGCGCGCGGTGTGCGGTGTGAGCGTGCGCGTGCGCCCTGCAGGCAGAGGGGACCTGTGCGCTGCGCGTGACGGGCACTGGTGTGGGGACACGGAAGACCGCACGTGCCGCGTCTCCCGCCGCCGCCCCCGCTGGCCCGGCCCCCAATTCCGCCTTTTCCCGCCCCCCAGGATTCCGGTTTCAAGAGAACCAAACTCTGAAATCTAAATTTATAATTTATAGTAACAATTTAGGTAATAACTAACTTCTAAAAACTGAGCACAAAATACTATCTTCTTCCAGTAATTAAATATTGAAGCTCTATTTTCGAGGGCTGTCTGAGCCATGTTAAAAAATAAGACCTTAGTCTATGGCCACACCACCCCGAACACGCCTGATCGCGTCTGATCTCGGAAGCTCAGCAGGGCCAGGCCTGTTGAGTACTTGGATGGGAGACCACCTAGGAAGACCGGGTGCTGTAGGCGTAAAAAAATAAGAATATTCAAGAAAAGGCCAGCTAAATTACTTTTCTTGAACATGAAAATTTTGAACTTTTTGCGTGTCAAAAATGCTAGGATAATGGTCGGTTCCCACTTTTCTTGGAGATCTCATGTTTTGATGGCGTAAAGCAGGATAAAGTTCATTCACTGATTTTTTCCTGGCCTAATCTGAGCATGTCCAGCCGTCACTTCCGGCTGAGATGCGGCGTAAGCACATGAGAGACACCGCCGGGCCCGCTTCTGCTACGAGCCGGCTCCCCAGTCACATCCCTGAAGGCACAAAGTCCCGCAGGAGGCTGCGAGGACACACGGCAGGGGAGGGGCCTCCGTGAGGAGGAAGCTACGAGGCTCGGAAGGTCCGTGACGATGGCCACAGGCCTGAGGGCGCATGGCCGACGTGGCCTTTGCGCCCCCCCCCCACGTGGCAGGGAGGTGACGGCCCCGATGACCGGCAGGCGAGTCTCACCGAGCGTCACGCCCGCCGTGCACGTCGGCACCCGTTAGGGAGGTTCACGCTCCAACGCAACTTACACGCGTGAGGCGCGGCTCATTTCCAAGCGCCCGGCCCGTACCTTGGTACGTGAGCTTGAACCCCGGCCGGTTCTCCGAGTGGTCGCTGTAGAAGCGGACGAGCGTCTCGTGTGTGGTGCTGAGCAGCGCCGAGGGCAGGTCCGAGCCGCTGAACTGCCCGATCAGGGGGCTGCCGGCCGAGGGGCCGTTCTGAATCTCCAGGTAGTCGTGGTTCGCTTCCGTGGAAAAGTTCAGAAACTGAATGTGCACGCCTACGAGAACACACGCAGGATGGCAGTTAAAGGCCAGTGTGCAAAGTCGGCGCTTTGCAAAAGTGGTTCAAACCGTATTAGTCTCCCCAGATAATCTCTCTCTAGACGGCAGAGCACGGCAGTGGAGAATGCACCCCGGTGACGAGGGACTCTGGGTCATTCTCGCCTCTGCCACCCACAAGCCGCGTGGCCGTCCCCACGGGATTAAAGTCCCTCGGTTAACGTGTCTGTGAACCCTGAGCTCTGCCGGCTTCGCACTAGGGACAGGCGCAGGGGTCACTCTCAGCACAGTGACTGGGACTCACGTGCACGGCAACGACTGTGTCCGGCTGCTACTGAAGTTATTACAACCACACGCCGAGGCTGTAATTGTACATCGAATCAGCCAGACTTCACGACTTGATCAAGGCAAAAGCCAATATAGGTCTCAAAATAAATTCGACAGACCGTAAAACTGCTTTTAAATGGTGAGACCACCGCGCAGAGACTCGTTAGTGTAGCAAGTGGTTCTTTCCATTGTGTTCTGGACTCGCAGAGCAAACCACCGGGGAAGCCGAGGCAGGGGAAAAGCTCGCGCTGCAAATCAGGCCTCTGACAGGGCCGCCCAACTTGACACTCATCGAGGACTAACTGAGCCCAGGTGCTCCCTCCACACCTGAGAGCCGGCCGCTCGGCGGTGGTCG